AACAAATTGTATGGATTGTCAAATCCCCTAAAATTTTTGCTGAATCTATATAACATGCTATTTTCACCAGACAGCATGACTTGTCTGGTGAGCAAATATAATAAAATCCGAAAAATGAATATCTAACTGTAAACGAACTAATGTATAATATTCAGGCTCAATGTAACAATGGGTCAACAATGGCACAGCAGTTAGGACACTCCCCGACCATGCACATGGTCTGGGGTTCGATTCCCTGCCGACGCAAACCTGATATCAATGGTTGGCCTTCAAAATATGGGCTACCGGTATCACATGCTGAAAATTCCATACTTGTACCAAAAATACGGTGTGGAATCAAGCTATAATCAAACCACAAAGCAGGTTTTCATTTCAGCGGATTAATTTTCAGTACTTTATAAATCAGAAAAAAATCCTACATTGCTTTCGTGATTACTACTCAAATAATAGTGATTCATGTTTATGGACTGACATTTACATATTACTGTTCCATAATCAATATTTTTTTCTAATTTTTATGGTTTTTCTAAGTGTGAGATATGATCTAAACAAAGTTCAACTAAATAACCTACTGGAAAATTACGTAACTGACATCGATCGATAAATTATATAACACTAGAGACTACCTGTTTATACATACATTCTTACCTGCACACACATATACAGACATTTCGTATACTCGTGTCTATTTCATAATATATTTACCCGCATAATGATCTCTATTAATCATGAGTATTGATTTTACTATACTGCATAAACAGAGTAGAGAGAGAACATCAATATTTTAACATAGTACACACTTTGTTCATAAATATATATATATATATATATGTTTTTACGTTTGTCATTTAGAACATGTGACCAGAGTGTAGAGCTTGTCTATTAAGAGATTTTTCTGTATTCATTTATAAAGACAAAAACAACTAGGGTGAATACTAATCATTTAAGCATTTAGAGTCATTATTATTTTATCGGAATAGTATATTTATTGAATTTTGACATGATTACACGTCAGTGCGCAATTTAAGTTTATATTAATAATAATAATAGCAATAATAATAATAATAATGTGATATTTGTTCTTTCTAACTGACAGAGGAGTAGATACATACATCCAGTGACTTGGTTAATTTGACCATATTGTCAGTTTGATTTAACAAGGAACTTTTAATCTGGCGAACTACTGAGATAAGATCAAGTGATGATCATAGTTGTAATAAGCTTTGAGTTACATCAGTATTCAAATCAGTAGTCTTTGGATTGTAGAATAAGAGTCATAAAATCATTGGTTGGGTTTTAATTATGCTTCAGTCACTGACAGTTTCATGCTCGTGTTATATGAATGAGCTGGACGAAATAGCCTGTTCATTGTCATAACACTGGATGTCCTAGCTGGTTTTCTTAAGAATAATAACTGTCATAAAGAATGGAACTCGTATAAAGAACTACTAAGAATTGAAATATACTAAACTCTGTAGTTTAAAATCCTTCACTAATATACAGCTTTGTTCTCTTCATAGGTGAATTACATGATATTTAAGTATTTTGATCATCATATTACTAGAAATGTGAACTGGTTCACATATATGGTAATAATAATAGTAATAAAAGTTCTTATTTATTAATATATGTGTACCCACTAACTGACGGAGGACAGAGATATTCTTTATTCGGCACAATGTGTGTGGAAGCGGCTTTTAGGTTCTCTGAAGTTATTTTTGTGTATCTTTGTATTAAATAACAAAAATCATTCAAAATTTCTGGAGGATTGCAGTAATTAATTGTTGATTGATTAGTTTTTTTATGCGACTGACTGTCCAGGATTGGTCAATGTTCCTTTAAGACAGTCAAGGGGTGTAGGGAGAAAGAATTCATTTCCACTGTTGTATAAAAAGATCGAATCAAGTAGTTCTTTGACATCTAGAACACAGCTTAGAAAGTTATGCATTGCACCATCATCAGTGTTGAATAAATGTATGTGATTACATAAACATTCTCGATTTGCACGCTAACAGTAACTGTGTGTTGTTTTACAAAAGACAACAAATTCTAGACCTTAAAAGTCCTCTTGAAATCGGTAAGCCAAGAAACAAATATTTTGAAGAAATGAGTCTTTCATTTTGAGTGTTAGGATAGTTAATTATGGAACATGCTGGATTACAGGGGTGTTAAATGTCGAAATGCTAAGAGGTAGAATCCATAGGTCTCTGAATTTCAAACTAGTAGATGGATGATAAAAACGGTCATCTGGTAGCCTAAAGTCTCTTGGTTCCATCCATAGCAGGGTAGTGGAGACACACTGGAAAAGAATTTCAACTAGGACGTCAGAGGTATACACTGTCACTCTGGAATTTGGTAGTACTCTTACTGACGACATTTCATAAAAGAATCAATCTTGAAATATTTATGTTCAGTGGGAGAATCAGCCCAAATGAACAAGGAATATATTTCTGATTCATATATAATAAAGTTTAAATTTGATCAGTACACGGCTTCTTTGCTTATCTGACTGATATGTGCTCAACACGTTCGAGGGGCATTCCTGTAGTAACAACTTAGCACTGTAAAAAGTTACATTCTGTTAGTAACATCATTGACCTCAATTTAGTTTTCGTTACAAACTAGAATCAGTATGCATGCCTTTAAGGTAGACTGAGTTCATGACCATCAACTTAAGAGGTTAACACGTGAATATTGAAAGATTGGTTCGAAGTGTTCAATTACATATTTTCTCTTTCTACACTAAAGTAATTATCCATTAAATGAGTGAATTTTTCTGACCTATTTAAATGCTTATATTTTATCCATGCTTTCATCAGTATTTAAAAATTGAAGTAACTATAAAACAAGAAGCTTAGGAAAACTTTTAAAGCTTAAGTTTCTTAACACGTATTCACCTTGAAAAGCATTAGGTAATTGGATGTTTTATAACCATTATTTCCATCTATTTGCATCCTTCTCCTACTCTCCTTCTCTCCCTCTCTTCTTCTCTGTCGTCAGATACTTTATAAAGCTGTCAAACTTGTAGAAACACCATTATACCAATCGGTTATTTTCTGCATTTAATCACGTATCAGGGTAATTTCGTAGGAGAAATTCTCATCATCTGAGTTTAAGTATGTAATTGGTTTTGTTACTTAACTTTATCCTTATCGCTTAATTTATCATAAATTCAGGTTAAATGGATAGAAAATTAGCTATTTAGTGTTATTTTATTCCCTCTTCCATTCCCCTTTCTATTTACCTCAAAAATTTTTGACATACTATAAAACCATATTATTGGTTAACTTGTCAAGAGTAATAATGATGTACAGTTCATTTTAAAGGCATCATTATTCATCTATGTCCACATCAAACTGTTTACTTTGTTGACCTCATTTTCAAATCTATCTCATAAATATATACATGTGTACATTTGTAAGTGATTTATACTCACACACATACATAGACTTGTACACATTCATACGGACATATAAAATGCAGCCTCATGGAGAAATAAACATGTCCAAAAACTGGAAGCTGGACATTTTTATTGCTCCTGTAAAAACAAAATACCTGTCATGCTTTAATTAGTCTGTTAATGATTTAAATAAACAAAAATTCATCAATGATTTTTTTTTAAAATGACGTTTTAACACACTTCGATTAGTGTATACTTGCGCATATGTAACCTACATACTGAAATGATGATTCATAGGGATGAATACTATTTCTCATCCCACTATTGTGTAATTTGTTCAATTTTTTATATATTTTTTAAAGTGAGTGAAATCTTACTGACGACCTCAAAGCTTTTGTCTTCTATAAATGCATAGACGAATTTCCGATATTTTCATTAGTGTTAGTCTGTAGGTAGTCTGTTGAATTCTTCTATTATTATAGGAAGTTTTAATCTAGGGAATAAATACATCACTTGGTTAATCTATTAGGTGTCAGTGTTTCAACAGTGAAATACTCACCAACCACGCGGAAGGTCAGTCTTCGGTCAAAGGTAAACGCACTACTGAACCACACCTAGCTGGTAGTAGGTGCAGAAAAGAGAGGAGGTTGGAAATCCCATCCCGTTAGGACAATTCTGCCGTCATTGAAACTCAAAGCTTAAAGCATGAAGGCCTGTGTTTCACTGTTCAGGTTTTACAGTGGCATACCTTGATTTCTAGTGATGGTATCAGTGAGGTATGCGAAGGTAGTCTGAGTTGCTTTTGTAACCATACCAATTCTAAGTGGAGTTCTGATTGCAATAGAAGCTGATCAATGGTTAACTTCCCCTGTATGGAAGAATTTTCTCTTTACTTCGTCCAAATACTAAAAATCGTATTATTCTATAACTAGTTTCCCACTGCAAGTGTATTCAATTATTTCTTATTACTTCAGTGATTTGTAAAACTGCTGTTATATTTGGAAGGTTTTAACACTGTTCACTGAATGGTTTAACATCATTCACTTTATTTAGATAGTTCAGTTAGTCACAAACGGAATGAATGACCAGGCAAGACTGTCTCGAATAATGTGAATAATAATAATAATGTAATATAATATGAATTCTTCACTTAATGAAACTCAGCTTACGCTGACTACCATAGTAATATTTTATCCGACTACAGAAAACCTATTTGCTTACAGCCTCAGAAAATGTTGGTCACCCTTTCTATGAGACGAATATTTTATTCGTGAAAAACATTTCCTCATATTACAGGTGCGCATATATTTTTTCTATATACGAGGCCTTATGCCTGAGCCACTTAAATTGTAGTCCTAACAACATGATTGAGTGTATTGATACTGCCAGTTATTTTAGTTAAATATAAAGGATTCTTAATACTTATCTGAATTTCAACTTCCTAGTAAAACTTGTTTTCAGATAAGGTAATTAGTTATATAGAATCATAAGTAGAAAATTTTAATCACCATTATCAACACTAGGATAACTGTCGAGTTGAGTTTTGTATTTCCCATTAGTTGATTATATTGAATCGAAATTTTTGGTCTCTGTTTACAAGTCACCTTCTAGTACGGACGCTTCGATGAGGTTTGAAATGATGGATGCTTCGTTCGAGTTTCAGTGGGAAAAAACCATCATTCATTGAGGATTGCAGGTATAGCCAGTGATGAGTCTCAAATAAGACGAAATGTGCACCCTGGATACCATTCCTAGTCACCACCCACCAAATAACAACAGGATAACCTTTATTTATGCTTAAACTAATGCGAAATAAGGTAAAGAATTCTGAATTATTTCATGCTGCTATCATTCTGCGACAAATGACGTTTTGCCCAATTCCTACTTTTTAGCCGAAAGATACTTCTATCATGCTTATAAATTACATGTCAGTTTTAGTCAACAAATTAAATTCCGCATTATGCAAGTTTATTTGTTACACCAAAAACAAGCTAATTATTTTGACCTATTGGTGTTTTTCACCATTAAAATTTCACGAATCGATTTGTCGCGTGGACAGATTTTTAGTCTTCTCAATTTTGATTGGTTCGTTACACCTAAAATCCCCAAGGCATTTGATTGGTTGATTTTTCTTTGCTTGCCAGAAGTATTAAAAGGATGATCCGCTTAAAAAGAAAGGTTTTCTTCCTTGAATAATTTGTATGCTGTTGGCAGCAAGATTATTTTTATACTGATCATATTTTATCAAAATGGATTCATCACCGCCGACATTACTGAATGCTTTAAAACCACTTACGACAAACAGACCCAGACCACGATCGAGGTTCACATCCATACGTCCTACCCCACATCCAGTTCTCGCTACTAAACGTGATATTAATGTTAACTTAAACGCAAGTCATGTGCAAAGTGGAGATTTAAATCAAAGTACATCGGTGAATACTGACTTGAAAGCACAAGTGCCTTCATCAAAATTAACACGATTTATGAGGCGAATCAGCATGAATCTTCTTCCTTCAGAGCAAACATTATCTGATAGTCTGAATGGAGCAGAAAAGAAAAATAATTCACAATTCGATTTTAACACATGGAAAAGACGGAAATCCTCAATTATCAACAGGGATAGGTCACCACTATGTTTACAAGAAGATTTCCAAACAAGTGAAGAGGTACCTGAAGTAAAGGAAAATACATTAGCTGAAGAGGAGCTGCTAATTGTTTGTCAAATAGACGACTTGAGACAGTTCAAAGGAACTCAACTATGTGCACAAAACGGAAGAGCAGTTTGACAAGATGGTTTGAGAAAAATGTTAAACATCCAAGAAGATCACTGCCACATTCGTCTCCAACAACTACTTGTACATTATCGGTCCCCACCGACTCGAATAAGTTATCAACTGATGTACCAGTAGAAAATACCGTAAAGGATACACCTATAGGTCAACAAAGCATTACACCATATACTAGAGTGTTTAAATCACGACGAAGTCTTTTAAGACATAGACGCCTTGCCAGAGATACTGTAATGTAAGTCATAATTTGCACTGTATTGTATAAAGTGTACCTATCCAGCTCATTTATTTAAATCTAGAGTATGTTTAACTTCTAATGTCGTTAGGACTATTTGATATAAGTTTCGATTAAACCTGTTTACAATTAAATTTGACTAAGTAATTTTTCATTTGACAATATGTTTTTTCGTTATTCGCTTTACTGTGTCTTGGAAATGATGCACGACTAAACCAGCATTTTTGAATTAGTATTTATTATTGTATGCTTATTACACATTATACACTTGTTTTCTTTAGTCTTCTCAAAGTTATACCGTTTCAAGTAAAAGATTTTCCTTAATTGTATGCCAGATGATGAGTCCCCAATGGGACGAAATGCACATCCTGCATTCCACAGTTAGTCACCGTCTATCAATTGCCTCTAAGTTTGAATAAAGCAAGAACACTAGTGGTTTGTGCAGAATAATATGGTACCATCATTTATTTCGTTGGCTTCTCATCAACTGCTTACAGCCTAAAAAAATTATTAAGTTTATGTACAGAAAAGTTTAGACATACTTGCAAATTTTTTCATGACGTCATGACAGAACTTTCTGTCATGACATGAAAAAATTTGCAAGTATGTCTAAACTTTTCTGTACATAAACTGCTTACATTTTTAGGCTGTAAGCAGTTGATGAGAAGCCAACGAAATAAATGATGGCACCATATTATTCTGCACAAATCACTGTTGTTCTTGCTTTATTCAAATTCACCAAGGGGAATAAATGCATGATGTCTATAAGTTATATGACCAGACATCGTCGAAGCATCTGTACAAGGAGCCGACATTTCAACCTGATACCGAGCACTTCTGTCCAATCAGTCGATGGGAAAATCATTTAATTCTTTTTCACTGGTATCTAATTCTCTAATTTTCACTAGGTTATGTAATTATTTAAGTTGCTCTGAGCACCAGTTATTTTTCCCAAGAAATCGTATGCACCTTAAATTCATAAATGTAGTCTCCATAGTTGATAATAAAAAGTGTATCGAATGTACCTCCTCTTGAAAGGAATATTTCAGTTTCAGTAATTTGCTTTTACTTGGGAAAAAAGTTATTTTGCATTCTACCGTACATTCAATGTATATCTGAGATCTCAGTTATAGGCTTCAAGGTCATGATCTCAATATGCGACCTCATGACTCACTATTTTTAGTGTCTGTACTGAAACAATATAAGTGGATCACATAAAGCCCAGATCTGAAAAATATGAGATGATTTTGCAAACAAAAATAATAAAAAAAATTGTTTCTGTCTGCACGTGTATGTTGAATCTTTTATTTAGTGGTGGTGTGTTGTATAAGGGTTAAGTATTTATTGTAGTTACCTTACCACCCTATTTTTCGATCACACAGGGTCAGACGGTTGAAATCTAAACAGACAGTGTGGGAATGGGAGACAGAGTGAGAGAGAGAAAGACCATATGTTTCAAGTGGGCATGATGCAGATCTAAACCTCCACGTGCAAAATTTCTTCCCCCTTTTTGCCCCCACACACACATTCAATATTCAAAATTGGATCTAACGGGGAATTGTATGAATGACTCAGCCCACTCAAATATTTGAGCAGCTGGTGTAAAAATTTCCCTATACATTATATCCGCTATTGAAAACATATTGAAAAAATAATAATACTGAGTCTTTGTTAGAATTTCCCCTGTTTTATTCTTTGTTATTTATTTAATATTGTCCTAGCTAGGTCTAAGTTAATTCTCATACAAAGCCTTTTTCATCGATCGTTTGAACTCTTGCACAAAATCATGTATATTTACTGTTAATCTTTCTAAATTTTAGGACATCTAAATCCCAAGAGACCAAGGCATCTAGAGATTCTTCAATTCAAAATGTTGATCCAGCTACTGATTGTGATAATCTTGTTCGCAGTAAAGAAGTCAAGTCCGAAAACATTATACTTTTGAACAAGGAAAATGAAGAGCTTGTAAGGCCTGATGTAAATACTAATGGTAACAAACCAACTTTTGGTTCACTGGGACGAATTGCTGAACAGGATGATGCTTGGTTTATTATTCCACCCACTGGAATTGATGGTCCATATTCTCAAAATCAAAATGGCACTTATTCCAGTATCAGTTCAATCGTGTCAGATTTTACAAGCATGAGTCATTCGGTCGGTAGAAGCAATGGATCTAGTAAATCTCTTCTAAGTACATTTTATACTCCCACAATGAAACGTCGACAGAGGCTACCTATACCTTCTGAATTTCTTAATTCAGCAACTACCGGAACTGTATCTTCTAAGCCACCTACTCCTTCGAAGGATGGAATAGGTCGGGCACCAACAACAAACCTTCAGTCAGAAGTGAATAGATCTAGTGACCAAGATTCTGGTCTCTCTTCACAGTTAAGCGCACCACTTCATGCTACAGATATGGAAAGTCAGAATGAAGACTATTTACACAAAGTAGTGAATAATAATCCAACAGCAATATCATCCACAACACGTTGGACAACTACACTACGCCAATCGATGAAGCGAGCGAATAACAGACGTGTTTTATTAGCGGGCTGTACAATATTCAATAGGTGAGTGAATATTATTCCCTTAGGTTTCGTGAATAACATAGATCTTAAATAGCACAAATCCACTCTCGCCTACACTCTGAGGTCCGCTTTAGCTGGCCTCATGTTTGCCCATAGTCTTTCGTCTCTCACGATCTCATCCGTATCACCCTCGACAAATGTCCAACTCGTCGTTTACCATTCGACTTCCACTCCACAGATGGTATGAAGCACAATCTCACTCAACAGTCTCCTCAGTGCCTGTCCAATCCATCTCCACTTTCTTATGCACACCTGTTGAACAATAGGTTCTCGGTTGACTCGATCATTCCCAGCATTTCTTGTGGCTGGCTAACTATTTTCACTGGCCATTTGGTGATTTCAGATTGGTGAAGGCGTATCTTGACTTCGCGATTCTGAACTGCTTTGATATCTTCATCTATTCCGCCTATAGTTCAAACGATGCCTCCTAGATAAGTGAAGGAATTAACCTCTGTCAAATCTCTCATGTTGTTAGTGACTGATGCTGGGTGTTGTTACTGTCACTGTTGTTGTTGGTGTTGGTTATCTTCATCACCTCCGTCTTCTCTATGTTCACCTGTCCTATATCCTGTACTCCTTCACTGCCTCCTTCTTCGGCCAGTTGGTTGATTTCTGCCAGTAAGTCTTCCACTTACACTAAACACAAATCATACGCGCGCGAGATCCAGATCTTCTAGAGTTTTCTTATCAGTCCAACTTATTCCCATCTTCTCACTCGCCTCCCCACGCACGGTGTGCTGCATAATCCAGTCCACCATAATTAGGAATATCATTGTTGATAGAGAGTAGGCAGCTTTGTCTAACTGCTGTATTCACTTCAGAGGCTTCGGTGGATTTTCTGTTGTGGATCAGCTGACATATGGCATTGTCATATAGCCAGTTGTTGAATGAGGTCCATGAACACTTTGGGTACTCCGTAGTGTAGAAGTAGTTTTCAAATAAGAGTACTAGCTCCTCTGTGACAGACTACGATAATTCAACTGAACTAGCCATGCTTCTTTTCATTACTTCGTTGAAATAGGATTATGCAGACATGATTTCAAGGTGTCCGTAAATAGAAATACAATCAGTTCACTTGAAGTTTTAAAAATACTGTTTCACTTGTCTCTGTCATTCGAGATAAATGTGGTCACGGTTTGTAGATGTACTATGTGTATTCTTTTGCAATTAATTAGAAGGTTTATAAAGAAACAGTAGTTAGAAAAAAATTCATAAGGGTTGATAGTCAAATGACGGAATTTTAGCCTAAATAGTCTTAGGTAATTTTACACAGTGAATTACGAAAATTATGGATGAAATTCATTCAGCTACAAATAATGTGAAATTTCTTTCGTCTTATTAAAACGTGCCTTTTTCTTTTTGACTTTAGGAATCCTGTCGAAGGGATCAATTACCTCATCAGAAATTATATTTTAGTATCCAACCCTTCTAAAATTGCTCATTTCCTACTGAATGAACCAAATCTCAATCGTCAAGCTATTGGAGAATACTTCGGTCTCTTGGACAATCCAATGGCAACTAAGGTTTTAAAGTAAGTTTTTATTACATACTTCACTAGCTTCCTTAAAATTGTTTATAGTGTTAAAGCCGTAGATGACAGGATATTAGAGGCTTAACACACCAATGATTCAAAAATATTGGATTCAAATCCTCCTTAAATATGTTTCTTGATGGCAATTCTGTAGGTGTCTCATTTAATAAAGCGTTTAACGACACCTTTACTTGCTAAATAAAAGTGACTGAAACGATACGAAGTGTAATGTTATCTTTAAAGTATAGATTATGTGGAAATGTGAACTCTATACTCACATTAATTTAGTAACAATCGAAGGAAACAATTCATCTTGGAATGTTGTGAACAAATTGTTTTGCCTCATCTAAGTAATCACTGTTTTCAATTTATCTTTCAGGGAATTTTTATTACTGATCGATATGAAAGGAATGGAAGTAGACAATGCTTTGCGCTCAGTTATCGGTCATTTCCATCCATCGGTAAGTTCACTATTTTACTGATGAGGAGTACTGATTGAAAGTTATCACATATTTCTGCTTTAACAAAAATTTATGTATACTGAAATTAATTTCTACTATACATGAATAAAAGTGGTAGTGTTGATGAATTTCTTTGGCATATCAGATAGCCCTTGGTACTTCAATCAATTAGAATTTTCAGATATTGTTTCTTCTCCGTTGATCAAAAGTTTTTGTTCCTCCTTTCATTAGGGTGAATCTCAAAAAATTGCCTATCTAATGCAAATATTTCAAGAAGTGTACATACTTCAGAATCCAGATCGTGTTCATAGACTGTTTCGTAATTCAGAGACAGTAGAGGTTTTGGCCTATTCAGTCCTGTTATTACATACTGATCTTCACAATCCGAATGTTGGAAAAATGGGGAAACGTATGACTAAACAAGGATTCATTAATAATAACCGAGGAATAGATTCTAATCATGATGTCAGGAAAGATCTACTAGAAGGCATTTACGACCGTGTAGCTGCATCCGAGTTCAAAACACTACCAGATCCCTCAGATAGACTGCGAGCTTTGGATGGAGTTTTGGTCGGGCCCTTGAAGACAGATAATTTTGTGCAAAGACATCGCCGCTTCATTGGTAGAGTACTAGCACAACAAATCGAAAAGATTGCTCCCCGACGATTGCCAAGTAAAAATAATTCCCGATGGCGTTATCTACTGATATTCAATGACATCTTACTAGTGGTGAAGTCACTAAGTTCAACACGGCTTAGGTCAGATTCTCTTATGAACACAGCAGCTGCAGTAGCTATGGGTGATCAAAATGCTAGCCGACATTACACACCAAGAAATTCCATATCTAGTGTTCGTAACCAAAATCCTAAAGATCAGTCAGGAAATGTCAGAAGTCGCAGTTCTTCCGGTGTGGTGCAAGATGTAGCACAAAAAATATTCTGTTCTACAGAGCCATTTGCCAGTGACACTTCTTACCAAGTTCGCAATGTTTATCCGTTTCTCGATCTACGTGTACTGGTTTTTGAATCTAACTGTAAGTTTCCCATACATTTACTGATTGTGTTAAATATTATTTTTATTGGATTACTCATTTATTGAAAAATAATATTTGACTGTCCTCCCACATCATATGCCCACTCTAGTAATTGTGCCTGCAGTTTTGTATATTGTTACAAAGAGTGGTTCGTCAACCGGCTATTGTATATCGAATTCATTTATTTATTCTGAGAACACTTAGGAAATTCTGTGACTTAAATCCCCCGCTATGCTTGAGGTCATATTATATTACCTTTGCTTTGAAATCGTTTGTAGTCAGAAGTACTTTTAAGTAGTTATATATGTAGGGTGGAGGAAGTTTCATATCAGTAATTTTCTATATTCTAGTGAATTTTTAGCGACTATACGACAAGAGAAAATCTCATACTAACAGTTTACCTACTGAATTAAAAATCGTCTACATTGTAGACAGTATTCTCTAAAGAATATATAGACGCCTTAAAATGTAGTGTAAATACTTCTTAATAATTCACCCTAAAAATTCTTTGTAAAAACGTGAATTTTAGGCTTGTTCAACTAGGTATAACGTGGAGTTTCATGGCTCATTCTGCTTAGTTCGCTTTAGCTCAATGCACTGCTTATATTTACTTGTTCTTATTGACTATTATTATTGTTTATTCTGTTCCAATCGCACTGAAACTAATTGCTGATTACACACGCAAATATTGAGGGTAAACTGTTGCAGAAATGTTTTCTTGTGTGTGTGTGTGTGGAAGACTCCCTGCTAAGTTCCTGTAATGGAGTGTCAAAAAAATTGTTTCACTAATAATCATGAAAATTGGATTTAAATCATTTGAGAAAGATAAACAAATATACAGGAAATAAATCAACCCACCCTCTGACTCAGTAGGTAGAATGGTAGAAATAATGGAAAAGATGTCTTGTGATGAGTGTGGGGGGGGAAGCTTCTGAAATAAAAGGGATCAGTGTGAACAACTAACTGATACATTTAGCTCCATGTGCTTTTACCCCATTGCGAGAAATTAATTAGGTGGTCGACTTGAATGAAAGATGTACTGAAAGTATGATTGCGTGCTATTGCCTAAATATTTCATTCGCTTTATGACTTTAACCGAAATGGACGCAAATTAAACCTTTTTAAATGGATTCATTCCTTTGGGTATTGTTACATGTGTAAAATAATTTTTGAACAATGCTGAAATTTCATCGGTAGTTGTTCTGGCTATAAGACAATAGTTATATCACTGGGATAACTTACTGTTTTTAGATTCACTTTCAAGGCAGATGAATTAGAGTAAAACTGAAGGCTTCTGAATGACTGTTAATCCAATCTCACTGCATTTGAAACGATTTGGATAATTGAAATGTACTGAACACATTACATATTCTCTCAGTTACGTTTATGATTTTAGTTTTATGGTGCATTTATATAATAATATCGAGTAATATAATATAATGCTTCATTTCTGTTTCTTTCTGTTATCAGATTATCGATACGGGGTTCAACTATGCAATTCAAGTGGACCAGTCATTAGTTTAAATATGTCGTCCGAAACCTGTCGTCGTCAGTTTATTGATTGGGTGTATGAATCCATTGCCGAAATGGAAGAACTTCAACAGCATCAGCAAATGAAGCAAACTGTATGTGAAAAAACCATTATAATCAAGTCTGAACTGAATTCCAGTAATACCAGTATTGTTAGAGAAGATACCAGTAGCAGTGTATCTTCGTCGTCAATGAAAAAGAAGGTTATCTTATCTAATCCCTAATCATAGATGATAGAATATCTCTAATTTAATTTTTCAGAATACTTCAGATGAATTCCTTTGATTTTTCTTTCCTTTCTTAGGACTAAACAGAATCGACTGTATCCTGTTTGATTTTATTGTCCAGGATATACAGTCTGCCTCAGATTTCTCATTTCTGTGATATTTCAGATGTGTCAGATGTACATACATGTATACACACACACACACAACAGAGATTATTCCTTCTGTTTTTATTGATGACTTTTGATTCTCTACTTTATAAAATAAGACTTACGCTTTAGATAACATTCTATTAGAGATCTATTCACAGAATAGAGAACAGTTATATATTCGATTAGTACTATTATTACACATATATACTTTCTCATGTTTATTTATATACCTTTTCGCTCAAAAATTCATGGACATACCCAATTATATACATATATATGCATCAGTTGCCGCCTTATAACTGCATTTGAAAATTAGACATATATATATTCATTTTTTATGATTTCTTCCCGTAATCAATTTCTATTGTGTATTTTCCAGGATGATATGCCAGTCATTTTAGAAATATTAAGTACTTGTATATTTAAAGAATATTTTTATTCGTTTTTAGATGAATTTTATCTGGGTTTATCATATTGTATAAAAATATATAAATTGATTCTTTGCTTTAAATCGGAGTACTTACTATCTATTTGTACATTGTTGCTTTCAAAAACGGTTAACTATATTTAAAGCTCAAGATGAGCATAGGCTGTTCAGCCTAATCGAGTTCTGAAACACCTTTTTTCCAAGGTTTTCCAATTATCGTCTGTATCATGAGGTGGAATTTGTCTGAAGTGTATAGATGATGATGGGTTCTTGTGGGATTTGACAGATGTTCTCTTCCCGATATAGTGATAACAAAATTCATAGACGGAACTGCCTTGGTTAGTTCTTACGGACATTAAGGATCATGAAGGGTTATTCAACAGCAAATCTTTAAACTTCATTCACGGGAATCATGTGTTATTCCACATACTACTATCTGTTTTTCACCTATTTAATTGAAAGTTTTATACTTGAATAATAATACTGGAATTTGAATAATAAGTGATCTGAAGATAGTGCAGATAGATTAGCGAAATCCCACGCTTAAGTATTAATGTAAACTAGTTCTTGTTGCTACGTATAGCCGAACACATAACTATAGTGAGTTATTAACTCTAGAAGTTTCGTGTTGAATAATAATAATAATAGTGGTCCCATGGTAACTGATACGCTGAATACGAAAGCGTAAGAGTCACTCTGTCAGTAAATAGATACCTAAACGATAAAGCTGACTAGGTATGTTCAGCCGGCAGAAACAGTGTCTGATTTGACTAGTATGTTAAGAGCGAGAGATAATCAATAAGAAATCTAGCAAACGTCAAACTGTTTTTTCTGGATCAAAAGTTTTGTAAAAACAATTGGAATCAAATATATATTTGTTAATGAGGAAAGATTTGATGAGATAGATGAAGTTAGTGTAAAACAGAGTGTCTTCGCAACTCATTGCCATCACTGAAAATAACAACCAAATAGATAACCTGTCTTCACAGTAACCAAACGAATCCATAAACACAGTGACCACTGGATACTAGTTTATACCTTTCAGTGCAATAATATACTATGACCAGAACTTATTACACATAAACCTAGGTCATTATATGTTAGGTGGGCATTGTTAAGAGTGAAACTTCCAATTTACTCCTGAACAAGAGACGAAATGAATTCCCTCAAGGCCGCAGAGACACATTTCCGTTACCAAGCATATAATCTTGGACTGTTTGTCAATTGTCTAGAAAAATGTAACACTAAGCTAATCCAACTGTTAATTAGCTGTACAAGTCAGTGATTCATGAAAAGTGTTTCCTAATTTTTACTGTTATTTCAGATGACACCAAAATTTATCATAAAGTCCCTCCATTATTCATTTGAAAGTGTAGTTAACGATGTGGTACGATATTCCTGAAATCAGTCATCAGAATCCGTTACTGACTAAAACGTCGTGAAGCACATCCAGAAAACTCATTTTCACCCGAAATTCAGTCTTTTGAACATGAATGAATTGAGGGAGAAGCTTCACTTGAAAATAGTTTATGAGTGGGTAGAAATGAACACTGAGCTCAGTTTTTATTATGACAGCTTTCAATGGTAAACCAGTCATCCACTTCGATATCATCAGTAACATCAATTCCTTGTTGATAGGCATCTAAATGCTCGTTTCGTAAACTGTGAATCGCACAGTGACTCCAATTAGGGAAGTATATAGAGAGAATAGAAAATTGGACTTTAATCTAAATCTAGTTAAGGAATTCCACGTGTATGCTTCCATTAACATAATTAAATCAACAGTCTTTAATATCCACCAAAAGAGTTTCACTATCGATTTTGCAGTTTAAAATTCTATTACCTAACTGCATATATGTCAACCCCCAATACAGTGTGTGGAATATTCGAAGATTAGTGAATAATTTCAAATTTAATGGAATAGTAGCATTATTTTTCAGTAAGAGTCAAAGATTCATGTATTTTGTTTGAGATCATGGGTACTGAGAGGTCAGAAATACCAGGGTGTAATGGAACGAATGTCTCAGTTTTGCTAATTTCTAAACCTCTGCCAATTCAAACCTCATTTAATATGTTCAGCGTCTACTAAGTATCTAATGAATACAGTCGGTAAAATTTGCATTGTGGTCCCCAGCATGTAGGACTCATCATCACGATGCATTTGGAATTTATCATGAGTAGATAGAAGCAATAGGCCAGACGCTCAAGGCCTAGGTTTGTGCTTTCTGACACGAGTTAGCATGAAAAGTCTGCAACGTCTGATGGAATGGTGTTTCCTAAAACATTCCAGCCTGCTCCCCACAATGCTACGATCAGAGGAGTTACCATTGACCTTCATGGCAACTCTAGGGCTTGCCCTACCCAGTGGTGAAGTCCCTGGCAATAGCATTGGGTGACACGAATTTGGATTTCTTTGAGGACATCAATTGCACGGAGGTTCCGAACATACCTTACTGATGAGTGCCAGTAGACACGATACTCAGGTCTTGAGCTGTTTACTGACACCTAACTTTCATATAATATGACAACTGATTGTCAGTCGAATTAGCTGATAAGATTATATGAAACTGGATATGACAGTTTACAGTAGACGAATAAAGTTCTATGCTGACATGTTGCCTCGAGCAAATTAAACGAACGTGTATCTGAATAAATCAGTTGTTATTAAAGATTCCCTAAAGTCCATCAAAATTTCACACATACATGACAATATATCATTAACTATTTCCACTAGCTTAATTAATATACTCATTCCAAGTAAGAGGAAAAACAAGTAGGGAAGAAGACATAGTGAAAAGAAAAAAGCCCAGCTCCAACGTCAATGTCTTTAATAGCCTGAAGCTAACAAATCTGTAATGAATCAGTGATATATAAAAAGGGGGTGTAGTTTAATCTTATAATGATAGGCTGTTGTAGTAGTATATGATGTAATCTGTGGTGACAAATTCTGATGAAATTTAACTTCATTATCAGTATTTAGGAAAGTACATCTGAACAATTATTTTTTTCAAAGTTGAATTAAAGTCTTTGAGGGCGTTATTCTTTCATTGAAAAATATGAAGATTATCCTGTGATAATAATTCAAAACTGGGATAAAATGTGCTTTGTGAGATTTTAAATTTGTTAAAAAGGTACTGAAATCCAAGTAGCAGTGGACAGTTGTTTCACTATAATTCGGAATTGATTATATTTAGAAATAAACACATTACTATAAATATTGTAGGATGAATTATATTTACTTTCATTTCATGTGCTCTAGTTGTTTGGAATTACTGTTTAATTTCACTATGGCGAAAATTCCCATTTATACAGTTAGTAGACAAAAGGACTGATAGAAGAAATGCCTAATTTTCAGTTAGATCCTTGTTTGCATTGTATTCAAATCTCTTTCGCTTCATATATATATATATATATATATATATATTGATGATGTTTCGACCACATTTTATTGCTGATAATCATATTATACCATTTAGTCGTTGAATCTAAATATGATAGTAGATGATTTCCAAGTTCTATCAATTCACCATTTAGCGTAACCATAGTCTTTAGTTCATCCAATCAGTCACACACCGTCATTCTAACTTCATGGAATGCATTTTAGTGTTAGTTACCCATGAAGACTGGAATTTATCCGATTGAACGTTTCCTAAGAAGCTAGTTAGTTTCAAAACACGTTTCATAACGAATAAGCGTCAGGTAGTTTCCCCTTGGAAGCCACCATCTTTCGTCTTACGGAATGGTTGTAAATCACTTGCAACTGGATTTATGCTGTCTGATACTGTTGGATCTCATGTAATAATATTCCTTAAGTGAAAATTCCCAGATAGCTGGAACACTTGAAAGAGATAGTTCACAATGAATAAACACATGGCTTATTTATCCATATGAGTATTTATGTGTATGGATGATAAATAGGAGTAGTTGTTACCACCTAATGGCTGCGTTTATAACAGATACTAAGGTCTCCATTTCAGAAGGTATCCATTTACCACTTTACAAAGATAGCAAGAAACAATAGGATGTAAGGCTTCCTTTCTACTAGTTAAAACAACAAAATTCAATAAGTTTGTTGTATATCTGATAAACTGTTTTCTATGAATTAAAGGTAATCCTGGCAGTAATAGTAAGGATTGTGTGAGGATAATAATGACAAAGGTTTGATCACGAGTTGATATTAGTTAGGGAACCATTGGAAAAACTGGCAGTATTGGTCAAACCAGTAACCAATCAAACCCCTGTAAACCAACACTTGCTAATTAGTCTGATGTTCACTGGCGATTGGCACTATACAGGAAGTTACTTGGAGTTTTAGTCAGAAGTCATGACCAGTGGGGTCCACCAAGTCAGGTAAGAGATCAGTTACTCGTCTATGATATTGACTGGAGCTTGCACTATGTGTATCGCGAATTCGCAGAAGTTGGAATTCATGGGCTGGCCATTGGATTGGGTCTCAGCGGCTAGATAGTCCTGAGTTCGGACTCCACTAGGTGTGTACTACTGAAGAGTGTCAAATTAGGACGAAACAGTTGTTCACTACTCTCAGGTTTTCCGAAGGTTCTCTGACTGATGTCAAGTCGTGATAAAACTTGCAGCCAATCAAATCCTTGCTAACCAACACTTAATAATGATGTGATCATATAAACGAAATTACTGTAATCAGTCTGATGTAAAGGGTTTCAATGATGTATTCCTTGTAGACATTTGCGCATTTTGTTGATCTATTCGTTTTAGATTATCCTCATTTAAACACGACTCCTTTCTATGTCTGTAATAACTTATTCTATTTGAATGTGATACTAAAATAAAATGATAAACCACGTTAAAATCTGATAGGTTACACATAACCTTGGTTTCAGTTAGGTAAACACTATTTAAGTAAACATAGTTTATATTAAAGGTATTAGCTTGGTAAGTAATCTATAAATAGGTTAACTTAATTTAATGTCTCACCATGTGAAGTATCTAATGTGACCTAGGTGACAACTGTTATTTACTGAACTGATAAATACCAGAAAACCTGGAATCACCGTGTCTTACTAAAATTTTTACCTTTGACCTTATTTCATGACGTAAACTA